AATTAATATATTTAACGAGGTGGAGAATGCACATACAATCAAGAAAGATCGCGAGAAATGGAATATGAATATAGGAAGGAAAGTGCGATATAACAAGAAAATTATCAAGAATAACAGAAAGGATTGAATTAAGAAAACGAAGATGTGGTAGAGGAAAGGGTAGAAAAGGAATCCATCCGGGTAAAAGCTTTTAGAAAAGTTAACGTCAAGCTTTTATTATATGCTGACGATTCGGCCTTAGTAGTTACAGGACAGAGGTACAGGCTATACAGAAGAATAAGTAGAGATTGCATTCCATTAATAAATGGCTCAATGATAATAATTTATCCTTGCATCTTTGAAAAACTGAAACTAATTATTTTTGGCAACTAAACACAAACTCAGGCATAATCCAAAACTGACATCAGATGTAATGGGGTGCAATTGCACATAAAAATACAGTTAAGTATCTAGGAAATGCTTGGAAGACACCATGAGTGGTGAGATAACGGGAATTAGGTTGTTAAAAAAGATTAACAAATAGATTGAAATTTCTTTCCAGAAAAGCCTAAGTATTTAAACACGGCATGTAAAAGATTACTAGTTTCTGCCCAATTCAATGTCACTTCGACTATGCAAGCAGCATATGTTACAGCAGTCTCACAAAGCGCACAAGGGCTAAGCTGCAAGTGTGTCAAAAATAAAGCTATTAGATGTGTTCTCAACTAGGTTCTAGAGCACACATAGGTGCTAGAGAGTTCAAGGCTGTAAATGGGTACCTGTAGAGTTAGGTAATGCAACTGAAGGTCAATAGGGTTTTTAAAATATTACATAATCTCGGCCATAGTATATGACAGAAGTTTCATGTTAACGTAAGAAGTCCATAGTTTCAATACAAGGGAAGGTGAGATGTCTATTTTTAAACGAGGGTGGGAAGCATGGGAAAAACTCTCTTTACTTATACTGCAATTGAAGCTTTGAACTCTCTACCACAGCAAGTTAGGACAAATTCTGTTATTCTAGTTTTAAGTATAGTGTTATTAAGAAATGTCTGATGGAAAAGTAGAATCATATAGAGGCAGAGGAGTATGTTTTTCACTAAAAGAATTCGTTGAAATTAGGCATCAGAAAAGTTTGTATCGTCTTGTAAAATGTACCATTGTATGACCGATTAAAACTACAAATCTGTATATTTCAATAGTTTGTTCTGATAGTAGTACAATTGTTAGATTCAATTAAGGCATAGCCAAAACAAGGACCACAATGTAAATAAGTGTGCTAGTCATGCTTTTTGTGTATATATCCTTGGTAATTATCCAATTTTATGAATTCAAATTTTATTGTAAAAGTATGCAATGTATTGTATATGATGGATAATTGCCTAAATAAATAAATAAAAAATAAAAAATAAAAAAATAAAAAATGGTAAGTATAATAAAAGATAAAGAAAAACAAAAATATTGTCATGTACATAGATATCTACAGGATTAGATAATAGGGAACTGATTATCTAAACCTATAACCTCTAATTAACCTATTATCTACTCCTGATATCTAGTACAGTGTATATAGATTAGTATATAGATATCTATCACGAGCTAATTTGTCATTATTAGCTCCTGATATCTATGGTTATGTATATCAGTTTTCAACACTAGATGGCGACACCCTGCGTAAACATGGAAGTACACGCTAATGTTGTCGGAATCTCATTTCTTTGCTACTAATTTTGGGAATGTGTACATATTAATTCAAACGTTAATCCGTAAGAATGCTCATATCATTGGTCGTTTTAAAGTTTGAGATTGATGACGATTATTCTCTTTCCGACACATATTCATACACAGGTTTGTATTCAGTTCAGATGCCAGTTGACAGTTGTAACTAAACTTGTACTAGGCTATACAATAACTATAAGTCATGTCAAAGCATGTGGCTCCCGCAATCTCATGTCAATTCACGGTATCATTTAGCTCGTTTTATTGGTGAGTCATGCGACGTTGCAATATTGTGTATTTTCTGCAGCATTAAAGTATGTGATGGCACAAACGGAGGGTGCAGTCTCCTCTACATCACCCAGTGGAGAATCCTCTGAACCACATCTGCAAGCATTCACATATGCTGATGTCGTATCCGAGACAAAGCTGACCGCAGAACGACTAAAGGCTCTACGTGGGAAACGAGACATGCAGGAAATCTCTATTGAAACTGTATATGAAGAAGGTGACAATATTTCACTTGGCCCATCCACGTGTCTAACGTCTACACTGTTGTATCGTCATTTTTCGTCAGTTGCCCAGAAAGCAATCGCCCCCCACCCCCCTAGTATCGTTCTTTACCAGCGAGCACCAGAAGCATATCTTGTAATATTTGCCATGTCGTAAAAATGTGAATAAATTCGTTACACATTTGATTCAAGATTCAAGATTCAAAGATGCTTATTTGTGCATAAGACATACAGTCCGACCTCCTTTATCCGGCCATCTGTTATCCGGAAATCTCTATTAACCGGCCATGATCTCGCAGTGTATGTTCTTTGTTTTTTATTCATTTCCACCTAAAAATCTCGCTCAAAACTCGCTCAAAACTCGCGCGATGTACCAACCGTACGTGTGTTTGCGTGTGTGCGCGCGCGTGTGTGTGTGTGTGTGTTGTCCGCTCGTGTCCGCTATGCCTCCAGTAAAATTTCTGTTTTATTTCATTTTATTTCCATTTCATATAAACCATAAAACACGATAGTTTGTTACAAATAATCATAGCAACGAGTAAATACATTATCACATGCATAAACCCTACTGAACTGCATAGAAATGCTGTGTTTGAGCATAACTCTCATATCCGGCCAAATCCCATATCCGGATGGGGGCAGGTCCCGACGTGGCCGGATAAAGGAGGTCGGTCTATACAGTGTATATATATATGTATATCAGGGTTCTCCAAGCTTTTTCATTATAGCATGGGGGTGCTGCCTTTACGGTCCTAGTTGCAAATCGCCGAAGGCGGTTTGCGTGCTAGGGGCATGCCCCCTGGAAAATTTTTGAACTTTTTTGTTTATACACCAGCATGGCGGCTATGATATTTAGAGTGGCGGGTGCATTTTAGGATGGCGGGGCTCGACGATAGCCTGGCGGGCCGCCAGGCTATAAGATCTCTTGGAGAAGCCTGTATATATATATGTATATATATATGTGTAAGTGTACAACGGAAGATATGACAGGTCACAATACATGATTTGACAGATGAAGCACGGGGGTGGCGAAGGACTCGAAGGTCATTTAGGTGCTATGCTTGCTCAAATTTAGTTAACTGATGATAAAACAATTGAAGAATCCACACTATTTCTAAACGCCTGCTTATTGTGAGAATGCAGCACACAAGCAGGGCTCGAATTAACCGACGGCACCGACGGCAATTGTCGTCGGTGCCCCTATCAATCGCCGTACTGCCCCTGAAAATCCAACCCGACCGACGGCAGTCACCTGCCTTGCCCTTTTGTGTAATTGCCGTCGGTGCCCTTTAATCTACTGCCCTAGTTTCGTTTTTAGTCGAATCAACATAACACGTGCGCGTGCGTGCTGTAGTTGCAATGATGAGCTAAAAACCGATAGTCGCAGAAGGGAATAATAACGGCATCGGATAATTATTAGCTCCTGATAGCGGGCATGTAAAATTTCTTCCATTACTTCCATTAGCAGAGGTGGGTACAGGGGTCTGTGTTACGGTGTAAGCTTACATGGGGGCATATTGTTTTGTACATTAAAAGCAAGACGATGTTGATGTACTAATTTGTTATGAGTTTTCCTTTATTTTACAAAAGTGCTTTGGTGCCCTTCTCAAATTTTGAGAGTTGCCTTGGTGCCTTTCTATTTTAGAGAAAATTCAAGGCGATTTCTCACATGCCCTGAAAAAATTGCCTTGCCCTTCTCGTCGCTTAATTCGAGCCCTGCACACAAGTATAATACTTAAAATCAGAATATGAATTGTGCACCTTTGGTAACGTTTTTCTGCACTTCCCTCGAACGTAGCAGTGCACAATTATCAACAGTAACCATACACAAAGTGTCTTAGCACACACACGTAACATGGTAAGATAATTTATTGATCAGGTGTGGCTACTGACAGTGATGGAGCCCCGGCTGCAATAGCCACGCCGCTTGAAGATGCAACGGAGATTTCTGAGCATGGTTCCATCACTGACGATGTACAAGTAGCTGCAGGAGCAGATAACCTTGATGCATGGAAGGTCGTTAACAGAGGACCTGTGCCCGATTTTAGTATGTGTTAAAATCTATAGAAGAGCCTTTGTTTTCCCCGTATCTTTGATCAGCTAATGGGACGTACCCAAGTATGTGTATGTGTTCTAAATTTTGTTTAAATCCTGAGTGCACTCGGCACTTTGTTACAATATACTGTGGGAATATTTCAGTGATGGATGGAATTTCACGTGTAAGATTTTTGTGATGTGTAGTTCATAATTTCATATATTATGTCTGCTACATGCAGTGGTTCCTTGAACGTTACTCGTTAGTCCATAGATTGCGCTCGTTAATGCGCAGTGTTGCGTGCACGCAGGGCCGCAGAGGAAGCAGTCGTGTGAGCAGCTGATGTCGTCGGAATTGTCACGAGCTTCGTCGGAAGAGACCACACATTCGTCACGACCCAGCAGCGGAAAGTCACGGCACGGCAGCGACAGTCCGACCGCTCGCTTGCTGCCGGCAAAGATCCCCTTCTACAGTGGTAACCCAGCAGTCGAGGTGACAAAGGGAATCCTACATCTGTTTAAGGAAAAGTAAGTCAAGTGGAGCCAGAAAACACGAGAAAAGTATGTTAAACGTGAGAAAACGTAGGGCATACATAAATAAGTACATGCTAGTAACACAAGTATGATTGAAAGCCTCTTCTATGAAATTCACCTTGCATGTTCTACGGTATCAAGAAATTCTAGTTTTTTGGACCGAAACATTGATTGCAGTTGTAATGTAACAAGAAGTGGCAATTTGTTTTCGTGGGGTGGGGGGGTCAGTGATCAGTGTATCCTGCTTAAAACGACACTACCTGCAAGATAGATACATTCGTAATATGCTGGCAGATAAAATCAATCTACTAATTTAGGCTCATTGCTACTCTATAACAGTAAGGATCAATGATGGGCGCTGAGTTACAATTGTGTACGCGTTTCGGCAGCAGAAACGTATATGTCGTATTTATTATTACGGTCTTATGTTGAAATACAAGCTCTTTAATATCGTGCGTGTTTCAGTCAGCTGATTTCGCTGAAAGATGAGGTTGCTCGAAGTGAGATGGTGTGTATGCTCGCCGTGCCAGCGTTCCTGTCTGCCCACGACATCCTACAATTCACGGCCCCTGTCAGGTAGGGGGGGGGGGCAACATAAAATAGAACATGGAATGTTCGAACAGCATTCCTGCGTAATTTTTAGCTTAATTCAAATGAGTTTTAGTGATAGAATTACATTGAGAACATGAATAGAGCCTAGGAAGCAAGGTACAAGTAATGTGAAGGTAATAGAGAGCTTTTGAATAACTGTAAATAATATTGTGTATCTGTAAGGTCGTGGTCATTGTAAGAATGTACATCATTTTAGGTTAGTAATTATGTTGCACGTAAAAAGCAAACCGTTGCTGGGTTACATGAATAAAATTTCGACATTCATGGTTTCAATTCGATTTCTTCCCGACAGGCCAAACATTCAGTACATCAGGATAATCCGCAACCAGACGCCCAACGAATACATGGTTCTAGTGAAGTTTCATCACCAGAGTCACGCCGATGAGTTCTACAAGACGTTCTCTGGAATTCCGTTCAACTCGCTCGAGCCAGATCGATGTCATCTAGTCTACGTCTCTAAGGTGGAGATCCAGAGTTCTCAGGTGCGTTTCGATCCTTACTTCCATGATGTGAACCAGGGCTCGACTACTTTCTCATCGTCAGCAGTGTCATCTCTTGTAGTGCATTACAATGTTTCGCGGGCCGAACATAAATTATTTGTTTAGTTGTAACTCGAGGTTGCGATCGCGTTATTTTACGTGTTGATTTTAATGTTGACAAGCAACCATCGTTTTATATCGTAGGCAATAGCTGTGTTTTGTCATGGTACTTGTTTAAACACCTTAAGATGAGTCTCTACAGTATGTAACCATCCTATCAGTCTGCTATTGTCTGTAAGTTTATAATTGTTGACTAGAGATGGCGCCACAATGACTACTATTGGCATGTAGGTCTTGTATCTTTCTCTAGGATGCAAACGTGCTAGAGCCTGGACTCACTGAGCTACCAACATGTCCCGTGTGTCTGGAGAGAATGGTGAATATTATTTACTCTTGATTATTATATGTAATATATACTTATAATATTATTATATTAATTAATATAATTAAATATAATTATTATATATATACTTATAATACACCGGATGGGTGATGAGTGGCAAATTAAAAGATGGCTGTATCTCAAGGAATGAAAATCTCAAGTTATAGATCTGATTGAAAGAATTCCTTATATTTCTCAGTTTCTTGATGCCTCATTGCTGTGCATTGCAATTTACAATGTTATTATTTACTTATTTTTATAGGATGAATCTGTGAACGGAATCCTAACGATTCTTTGCAACCATTCTTTTCACGATGGTTGCCTATTCAAATGGTCTGACTCAACGTAAGTTATTCTTAGCAGTTATTCTAACTCTTTTCTATGACGTATCATAGTTATGAGCTCATAAATGCTCTAACAATATCAAATATGCTGTGTTAGTTAAAGCCGCACAATGCGCATCCAAACGCTAATTTCTCCAGTACTCGACTCGCAAATACTTCGTGTCATGCATAATCACACTACCTTATGACAAAATAAACTAGTTGCTCTCATTTCAATGCGCGTTTGCTTAAAACCCACAAGAAAGAAGTGAGAAAACTGGCATTCTGGCGCAAACGCCGACTGTTTGCCAAACAATATAGCCTCGAAGTGGTGACGAGACGTCACATGTTTTTATCTTTGCTACACCCGTACCGCTGTACCGCTGCACGGTTGCTTGGGGATTGGGGAAACTGTCAACAACATCGGAGAATTTGAACAACATTGGAGGTATTTTCAAATACCTTTTATAAGACAACGCGCAGTGAAATGGGAGGAACTAGAGTTTATTTTGTCATAAGGTAGTGTGATTATGCATGCCACGAAGTATTTGCTAGTCTAGTGCTGGAGAAATTAGCGTTTGGATGTGCATTGTGAGCCTTTAAAAAGAAGTATATTAAAATTGAAGCTGGTAGGTGGTGCCACTGTACTAGGTTGTGGGTATTAGCAAGTGGATCAACAACCTATTGTAACATACCTAATTTTTGTTTAGCTGTCCTGTATGCCGCTATACACAAACTCCGGAACAGGTGGCTGACAACAACTGCTTTCAGTGTGGACACAAGGAGGTAAGAATGTGTGTGAAGCCTTGGCATAAACTACATATCAGTAGTCTGTACGTTGCACTATCGCGTGTACTTTTTGTCACATCTGATCAGTGTTGAAAATCCAAATCGTAAAAACATCCTAAAAAGTAACATTTTCCTGTTTCCTTTTGTGGTGGAGATTGGCTCAGTGCCATGCAACTGGTTGGTAAGGACATTGACTACTTGTCAGTTTGGCTTCCTATAGTATGAATATACTTTGCCGGTTTTATACCTGAGTTCGTCCCGTATGTCTATATTCCAATGCAGTGATGCACATGCTACACAGCCTGCAAGCAATTACATGCTTACCATGTCACGGCTGTAACGAGCTAGTAAGCAGTGAATAAAGTGCTGGCTGGTTTGATTAATAATTGCTAGATGTTGTTGTGGTCTTGGCCATAATGCTAATCCTACAAGCGTGGGGTTACGAGGGGGCAAGTGGGTTTCTCATCCTCAAACATCACCTCTGGTCTGTGAGGTACATGGAGACATTGGAAGCCTCGTTAATGGTTAACTGTTTATACAGCTGCATGATGCACTGCCTACCCAACTTGTACAGCATCTGTTCTTTAGATAGTATGAAAGTTGTGTCCATCTGATCTGTGTCACTTCAGCCTTACGTTCATCGTACATACAATGACACATCACAGATAATGCTGTAGGCACAGTTCCACTAAGAGCTGGTTCCATTAATATCCACTAAAGTTATAGCACTGGGCTATCTATTTAAGGTGATGTTCACTCCCTGTTATTGTGCATGGTGTCTTGTTTGTTATGTGACTGTCGGTTGGATAATTGTCTGTTGGCATGCCTAGTCACATGCGCTTGTTACCGTACGTGTGGAAGCATTTATGCTATCATGTACCAATGCTAACTGTGGGCAAATATTCTGATTATTTTAATGCTTAAGATGGTGCCAACAATTTCGTTTAATTCTTCCTTCCAGGTTGTTACTGTGTCATGATTATTGTAGCTAAAGCGTTTGCTAGATTCATGTAGAGCCTGATGCTTACCCAATTAATCTTGTCCTTGTGTGTTAGGCATTGTATATGATAGACTAATGGCACCCCAATGTTATCCTCACTTAATATGAGTAATCTGACCTCTAACTTTATTAATAAAAATGTAATTGTTTTCTTTTATTTATGAACAAATGTATTGGTCTGATTTTGCATAGTATAAGGAGTAAATAATCCCCAAAGAGATTTTTGTGAGATTATTTACTCCTGGTAGTATGTGTACGTGTCAGGCGTGAATGCTTGCAGATCTTTCATTTCTCACCCCTGATACGCATGCATATATATATACTCTGCTTGTTTAGTTTATGATATATTGTGTTTGATTTGTCATGTCACGAATGTAGAATAATTGCTCGTATTAACTTATTTCAGGATTTGTGGTTATGTCTCATATGTGGCCACGTTGGTTGTGGGAGATATGCCCAAGCACACGCTTTCAGGTACTGCTATCCATAATATTTCCTAATACACAAGCCAATTAGTTCACGACACAAGTTACTAAATAACACGAAGCATCGGCGAGGAGATGCGTGAGAATTTGCGCGGTTTACGGATGAACAGCAGCTCTAACTGATAACGACTGTGACCGTCGTTGCAGGCATTTCGGAGAGACGCAGCACACCTACTCCATGCAGCTGGGGGCTAACAGGGTGTGGGACTACGTAGGTGACAACTATGTTCACCGGCTTCTGCAGAACAAGACCGACGGCAAGCTTGTGCAGTACGAGGCGCGTGGAGAGAGTGTGAGTGCCTGTGCAATGTCAGAGTGTCCTCCATCGCCGAGTGTGCGCAACAGTGTGGGAACGTTGTTTTCAGCTTCACGTGAATTGAATCTGATTTCCAGAATGAGAGAAAGGTGTATGCGCAAATGTGCCGCTTTGTCTCCCTAGAAGTGTTCTTTATAAAACTTTCATTAAATTATATAAACTTCCTTTAGTAATTCTAGGTCTTCTTACTGTACGTCCCTCAAAGTTGCACTTTGATAAATGTCTACGTTGCAAATGAGTGTTAACTAACCCGAAAAACACACATGTTCACCTCGCACATATATGCTGTTCATTCCAGGATCTACAGGATGAGAAGCTAGACTCTATTACCTTAGAGGTAAGAGTATCCATACTTAACATAACCACAATATCCAAAGGCAGAAGTCAGATATTTACCCCATGCTTGAGTGAAACTGCAGCGATTTCTTTTGTCGAGTTTAGTAGTGATTTCTATCAGTGTTACTCATTGTTTTCCAGTACACGTATCTTCTCACAAGTCAACTAGAATCTCAGAGGCTTTACTTTGAGGACAAGATGAGTTTGATTGAGAGGGATGCCTATGATAGGGTAAGTCGATCATCGAAATTCATCAACATTCTTGTTTCATATCTACGTGATGGGTTGCGTTTCATGGCCTGCGTGTATCGGGGATATGTATGCGTCAGATTTAAGATGCTTGTGTCGTATCGAACAGAGTATTTCACGTCGATCATTGACCGTCTGTGCTGCATGCAGATTGCTGAGCTGGAGAGTCGAGCGAAGTCGGTGGTGGAAGAATGTGAGAAGCTTCAGCAGCGTGTGAACACACTGAGCAAGGAAAAGCAAGGCTTGGACAAGAAGAACACGAACGTGAGTGAAGGGTAGTTCAGTGACCTTGCAATGGCCCTTGATGTGGGAAGTCTGTGACATGGCTTTTGTCCTTGCTGCTATATATCAGATTAACGTTAACATTGTGTAACGTGCTATAATTTCCTAGTAACAATATCTCGTGGTTACATTCAACACACGTCACTGAATAGAAGCTGCAATTTTTTCATCGAATAAGCAAGTAGTATTGTTTGGGACCAGTACTGTGGAATAATATTCTGGTCCAAATAATCAAACTTGATTTTTTATGAAAACTAATCATATTTGTTTCAAATTTCGATTTGAATTATTTCCATCCTAGTAAACCTAACAGATATGTGATATATTTTCAATGAGAAAGACCTAGATTACTCATACCGTATCCTAGTGGTTTGTAAATGAATAAAAATCATATACATCTGTAATTAAAAAAAGTGAACAGTAATTTAATTGTAACCAGTATGCTTGTGTATATTTATCTGCAGTTGCTGACAAAATTTAATAAAGTTATGGCTGAGCTTCAAGAGGAAAAGGAGGTATGTCTTTAGAATCTTCTATTGGTATTTGTTAGTTCTTGGTTTCATCTTTTATTATTCAGTGAGAGAATTATAGTTATGGATCACGTTATGTATGTTTTGGATTTCAGCTGTTATAGGGGGTAGCAATACTCAATGCATGTCAATAGCTGTAGTCAAAAACATGAAAACTATCTTACTGCAGTTACTCGTACTTACTGGAGAATTCTATTACATTATGTATTGCGTAGATGAACAAGTTTTTGAGGGAGAACCAGCAGCAGTGGCAGGATAAGGTCACGCGGCTGGATTACCAGATGAGAAGCATGTCACTGGAAAGAGATACTGTAAGTCAAATGAAGCATATGAAGTTGTGATCTGCGTAAAAATTTAAAATTAAACTAGACATCAAAAAACATTTTGAGGCTATGTGTTACATTTGCACACGGATTCACATTTTCTGTCTGGTAATAAACATTTTTCTTTGCATTTAGTAACTGTAATCATGTTGAGTAATAATAGCTATCAATATAAAAAAAAAACTACCATTATCATTATTATGATTATTAAAAACACCATTATTATTTTACTGCTATTATTAATGAAGTAATTCCTGACTAAATTCTCTTTGAATCATTATGCTTGCCACTATCCTTTTCACCCAAATATCCATCTCTGAGGTCACTAGCGATAATTAGGCTTGCTAACGATGATTAGGCTCGCTAACGATGACTAACGATGCTAACGATACGTCTGTAGGAGATCGCGGATCTGAAGGAGCAGCTGAGGGATGTGATGTTCTATCTGGAGGCTCAGGATAAGATCAAGCAGGTGCCGGAAGATGCTCGGCACGACATCGAGGACGGTCATGTAACCGTCGGCGCCGCCGCTCCCTCTCCCTCGCAGGGAAGCAGTCGCCGCGGGCGACGGAAAAAATAGCCGGGCGTCAAGTTCTCCTCGGGTGAGCTCGTTTTTGTATATATATATTATGTCGATGGTTGCCTGTGACGGATTCCCTGGACAGAGTGGGTTGCTGGTACGTTGCTGTGAGTAATGTAATGTTAGTAATGGTGCGGTGTGACGTCGCACGCAAGGGTGCGTCCCGTTCTGGAAAATGAATCCTGAAATTATGACGTTGCATATCCCGGATGTTTTAGTGATGATGGGAGGCAGACGTGTTGCTGTCGTGTTGGTGCTGCAATGTCTGGACTGTTGGTGCTGCAATGTCTGGACTGTTGGTGCTGCAATGTCTGGACTGTTGGTGCTGCACTGTCTGTCTGGGACAATGCAAGTATTCCGCGCGTGAACAGGAAAACACGGCGAGGTTGTGAAATGCGCTTTTATGGGATTTATTACAAGACGTTGCTAGTGTATTTATTCTCGTAGGTTACCCATCAGTAACTCCTCTATGTAACTCAATCGTAAATTAAAAGTGAAAAGAGACGTGACTCCTCTAGTCTAAGCTAGTAGAAGCAGAGGCTTTGCTATCTGGTGGTGGAGAACAGTTGGTGGAGAACGCAGGGTTCTTCCCAGGCCTTTAACGCAGGTCGGTTCCGGCATGCCTTCACAGCTAAAGCTAATTTGTGACACATCCCATACATCCTACGACATGCCTTAATTTTCTAATTGACGTGCCTTAATTTTCAGCTGCGTTTACTTTTGATCATGACAATCACACACACAATCATGTTGTGTTTTCATGGCTTGATATATATGTCTCTAAATTGACTGAGTTTATCTGGGTTTTTTTTGGGGGGGGGCGCTTGCAATACCCGTGATTGACTCTGATTAGCAATGAGGGATATATTGCTCTATTGCCCGGCATGCCTTCAGAAATTGCTAGGGAGTACCCTGGAATGTATGAAGTGATGTTATTCCCTCTGTGATGGGAGAATTGTTACACTTGGAGATGTCTCGTTGCGGCTTAAAACTGTAAAGGTTTGTCAAAACCAATAAGTCATACAGTGTCATATAGATAATTGGAGATGTAAACTTCATTACGGTACTCCATGCCTAATATGTGTATAATGTCGCTCAATTATATACAATATAGTTAATGAAATCGCGTACTAGACACGTGTGCTGTCTAAACACAAGGTTTAGTTGTTCGTTAAAGAACAACTCACTGGTTACAGTGTATTTAATGTGTGTTATGTCAATGTCAGTAGCAGCCAGCCAATTAGTAAACCGCTCAAAAAAATTGGGTAACACGGGTTATTTCGTATACCGACGTTACAATGGGTGAGTGTGTGACTCGATTTAAATGACGTAAAGGTCCAACCATGGTGATTTATTAGGAAATCACAGTTTAATCTGATTATTGTTGATAACATTGTTGAAGCCTCACGTTACGTGATGAAAATTAAGTAAGGTTGGTAAGAGAATTCATGTTAACGGTATATCTTCTGCTTCCATGCTTGTTCTTGTTACCAGCAGCGGCATCTGCTATATACCGAGCATGATAACGGTAGCAAACGCCATCGCAATGCTGATCAAAAAAAGACACGCACGTCATGTAGGCTCTAATTTTAAATGCGCGCTTTGATGATTTTGGATATTTTCGCCGTGTAGTTGTATCGATATTTTGCGAAGTTGCACATGTAAATTGTGGCAGGCTGTGTAAATAAAGCTATAATAAATATTATGTAAACGTTATTTGTTGTAACGTTCTATTTTAGCCGTTGTGAATCCATACGCCATTAAATAAAAAAAAAGTAAAGAGGATGCATAAATGCTTCATAATATATACGAATATTTAATGCTTAATTATAATATTGGTGAATATAATAGTAAGCGATGTGAAACATACCCCTATTATGATAAATTATCATTCTTACATTACCATCTTATTAGTATATATGTATATAACGTTTACATGGCGATGAAAATATATGAACCGATTTTATGTACAGACATTTGCGATTGCCAAACTGAATCTGAATCGGATGAATCCTTGAGTTCTGTGCCTGTATTTACATCGTTGATGCCGCATGCATTCCTCACAAGCGTCCCCTAAACACTTGCTGTTTCTGTTACTGCAGCACTACCACGCTGAACATCAACGGTTCCTTCTTCCCGCAACAAATTGACCTTGTTACTTGACCTGGCGATCTGACCTTGAAGCTTCTCCGTCTTCTCCGTTCAAGATACTAGCTTCCCAGTGTACTAGCGGAGCTTGTACATCAGACGAACCCCTTCTATTAGCGTACCCACCGCTCTCCGCCAGCGTAAAACCCACGTTTACAGCTTCTAGATTCACTATTGGTGCGCTGACGTCACGTGACATGGTGTCGATTATCCGACGTGTGGATTTGCGGGAGACGCTTTGGTTCGGTACGATATTCAGCCCTGTTCTAGCAGTCAGAGTCGTGCTGTCATTCGACGAGGATGGCATGCGATGTGTTCGTGTGGACGACGTGTTCTTGTCGGTAATTCTATTTTGTATAGACGCCGTACGGAGACGCGCAGATCGCACTGTAACCGCTTCTTCGCGCTCAGCTGCAGTACCATCCGCTGCTCCGTTGCCTAGCAACGAGTCATGTGCTGCAAGCATCTGCTGCATCTGCTCCTCGCTCAGCATTCGGATTTTTCCCATGACGAATGGTCTGCCGTTGCTCACTTGTTTCCGCGTCGCTGGCGTCTGACTGTCACGTGTCTCTTGCTCTGGGCTGTACGGATAGTCGACTGTCCCCGCATTGACACCTTCGTCAATAGTAGGTGTTACTGTGGCGGTAGCAGGTTGTTGATCAGTCGATGCTTGGTCTTTGTTTGAAGCGACCCTTTCTATATTGGCACGGAAGAGTTTTCGCTCGGCTGCACTATCTCGGATGTTGTCGGCTGCACTATCCCGGATGTTGTCGGCTGCACTATCCCGGATGTTGTCGGCTGCACTATCCCGGATGTTGTCGGCTGCACTATCCCGGATGTTGTCGGCTGCACTCTCCCTGATGTTGTCTGCTTGTTGGCGGTCGGTGTCAGGTCGTGGCACCTCACTCGCTATCTGTCGCCAACCGACAGTAACTCCGCTATCAGTGGAATCTGCGGTGGATATATCAGAGGCAGCGTTGCCCTCGTTGTTCTTTGTATCCCTGCCAGCTTTCCTTGTTTCTCCTCTGCGTCTTATAATCGACTTGCGTCTGTTCTCGAGTGTCCTTCTCCGTGCCTGTAGGTTTCTATGGTTACTAATAAGCTGCTGGTTGCTACTGAGGCTGCTTGTTGTATCGGAGAATGGATCTCTCATTCCTTCGTTATCCGCAGCAGAAGCGGACGCCATCTGGTGTTGTTCGATGGAATCTCCGGCTTCCGCTAAGAAAACTAAACGTACTGAATCTCCAATTTCTGCGTGCCTGATGTTTTCGTTAACGTCTTTGCTACCGGCAACAGGCGATGGTCTTGCTCTGCCAACTTTTCCTGCGGAATCTTTATTTTCAACACTGTCGTCTGTTTGTGAATCTTGCATTTCTGTTCCGGAGGAGTCTTGTCTGTTGCCTGTAATGTTATCTCTAGTCGATACTCGGTTTCGTGGTGAGTTATCTTTACTGCTATTGATATCGCTTGAGTCAGGTCGTCTTGATGAACTCTCACTAATGACCACCCCGTCACCATTGCTTGACGAATTTTGATTTAGTGGTCGTATATTTCGGTTGCTTGCTCGCCTGCTGCTTGCTAAGAATGGAGAGTTCCTCTGAGTATTGCGAATGCTCGACAGCATGGAAATTCTATCTGCGAAAATCTTATCGTTCAGCATCTCTGGGGCACCGGGTGGAGATGTATCTCTTACATCTGCTTCCGTTAGCGTTTCCTTGACAGGGTTGCTTTCCTCTAATGTGTTATCGACGTTACGCTGCCTCGGCACACTCCTCGAATTATCGGGTCTTCTACGTCGTTGTTGGTTAAAGGTTTGCTCTTGATTGGCAGCGGTAAGGGAAGCACCATTGCCCTGCCCATCACGCACTTGCTCGACGAATCTATTAGCATTGGGGTCGTTTTGCCCACGTTGTCCTCGTTCGATTGAATTGGCTGTTGGACGCACACTGGATAACATATCTCTATCGTGTATGAAAAGTATATCTGGAGTCTGGTCCAGGGCGTATCCTGGTCCAGTAGGAATACTCCCTTCATCCGGTGAAACCAAGTTGCTATTGCGAGCATACTGGTCAGGGTTGCTCTGTTCTGGATCAACTGAGATACGCCCATTTTGACTGTTATCTCCATTTGAACCTCGATTAGTTAATCCATTTAAATTGCCGTTACTTTCTCTATCCTGGCCGTCGGTATATGTGGTAGTAATACCACGGTCTCCTTGTCTATCATTGCCAGGATCAATCTGTCCACTGCTAGTATTGTTTGTTATATTAGCAGCTGGTTGTACGTTTGTTACGAGCATGAAACGTCGGTCCGGATTCTGATCTTGAATACTTCCCGGACCGAAAGGAATATTACCCGGATCCAAAGAAACCCAACTGCTATCACGACCTTGCTCATTGCTATCAGTGCTGCCTGTCCGTCCTGCATCACCCGTAGATGAATCCCCTTGGTCATCTGGTCCCTGTACACGATCCGAGGTTCCCGGATCCGTTTGGTTTGACTGGTCACCATTAGCTTGACCTTCCGATCCACCTGAGGTCGGTTTTTGGTCTGTTTTTGCTCCACCAGATTGACCATTCGTGTTATTCGGACGTGGCGTCGTATTGCCGCGTTGATCGGGCGTTTTGCGACCATTTGTTTTTCTACCGGAGTTCCCTCCTGGATATTTTGGAGCTGATGGAGTTGTCTCCGGTTGACACTGTGGCAGATCTGTGTCGGTCGATCTTACGTCTTGACCTTGACCCTGTTTGCCACGTCTGCGGCGTCCGGCGGATTTGGCAGTGAATGACAATTCGCGTTGTTGGCATGACAACCTGTCAGACATCTTATTCGCTACTCTCTTGCCAAACTCTGGCCGCGTGTACGAGTAGGGCACGCCTAGAGCGCCCTCTGGATTACCAACGAACGGATAAACTTCTGGGCAAGTATCAGCACACGTTGATATATATCTCTCGCCCTTGTGCGCTGGACTGTTCGGCCAAGTAGTCACATTCTGGTATCCACAGGTTAGAGCAAATTTGCAGGGAGGTATCTGTGAACGAGAAGGTATATCAGACAAGCTATGTAAAGTAGTCGACGAATTTCACATCATTTGGTAGAAGAAAGAAACACGGAATGTATAACATACAGCACTGGCACGAATGGAACGCCCAGTAGAAGCCCAGCTCCGACAAAATATGGCCCTAGTCGCTTTTCATAACACAGTGCATCCTTCACTGTTCGATTGTGCGGAACGCAGAGCATATTATAATGAGTGTAATGAATGTATTTTTTGTCAGCGGAAAATTCAAATCAACAGTCGTAAAGCAACGCCGATGCAGACGTCCACACGGCGACGTAATTTATGGATTGATCAACTACCTTATAAGTGGGTGACGTGCATTGCCACGGCTTGAATCCGCTGAGCTGGGAAACAGGCGTCGGATCTTTTATCCATTCGAGAGCCTGTCGAATTGTGACGAAATACACGTCCGGCTTGTTGGTCAACATGTCCTCGATGAACATTTGAAGAGCTTCCAAGTTGTAGTGGTTTTTATAGAACCAACGTGGACGTAGTATAATCTAGAAACAATAGCCATATTAACCATTAATAATTAACTTAACGATTAATCCACATATGTACGGAACACGAGGACTCCATGTCATGCCTAATATACTATTAGTGACTGACACAGAAAATATTAATCTTACAGTCACTTCTGTTTACTACGTTTATTTATTACACGTTATTTGAGATCTAGAATGATTCCAATCGTTATAAGGTTGGTTGTATCAGAATCGCGTGGCTATACCTGCATGGGTGCTTTATTCGTGTTGTAATGTCGGTCGAAGTTGGAAGTTAATAGCTTTAAAGCATCGTCTCTATTCTGTGGCGATGAGCATTGGTCGAGCTAAACCAAAACAGGGACACGTTAACGCATCGCATATACTCTCTTTACTGTAATAGCATGGGAGATGAGAGTCGCCTATAACTAATTATCTTTAATATTGATATGTAGGGCAATAATATCTTTAATATTTATATATTATTATTATTATATATATATATATATATATATATATGAACAAAGTCAAGTATATGAATAAGGGTGTTTAAAGTTTAATTGACACAAGCTTTCGAGATTACATCTCTTCAATCAGGTCAGCAGACATTTGAAATAGAGATGCATAATATCAAAAACAAATACAATGCGTTATAGATAATCAAAAATGAATATAGTTATATCTTAAATAATAATTTTATTTTAGGTTATCATATATTAGTGGCATGACGGTGATGACTGCTGCAATTCATTGGATAACGCAGCAGGCATATGAAGTCGATAGGCCGCGCCCTGAGCGGGCACTTAATCGCTTGCGCGACCGCATTGTATTATATCACATTGTTGTTTGTTACGTCACGAATCTGCCTGCGTCTGGGCGCCAACGCAGAGTAATTTCGAACGGCGGTTTGTTTGTGTCCGACGTTTTGTTACATCGAATGCACCGGCGAATTAGCGGGTATAGAGAAGGTATACCCGCATCGAAAAGTAGATTGCTAGTCATGTGATGGCACCTAAAAACATTAATGCCTGCTGTTTGGGGGCAATATGCTCTCATAGTGTTGATGTTTGGGGAGGAATAGTGCCGTCGCTACCGCTGCGGCCTATTCCTTCCTCAGGCAGACACTTGAGAGCATAGTGCCCCACAGCAGCATAATAATATAAATATTAACCAGGTTATTTATTGGTTATGGGATATACGACGTTATGTGTACGACGGTACGCGTCTCAATCTATAATATTCTATCTAGCTATTTAGCTAGCTATAAAATTTCTGCTCAAAACGCTCCGGCAATAATTAATTATCTGAGTGCTGCTAATCCGAAGGTGCTTTATTGTGGCGTCATCAAGTTGATTTTGCGGCTGGGTAATAGCCGCCTTAAACCTACGGCATAACGCGACACGTTGTAACATAACACGGTGAGAGCGTGTGAACGTGTGCGTAGCAACGCGTGGATGTGACTGCTCCCACCTGATTGCATAGCCGTCCATTATCGTAGAGACTGATTATAGGAACTTCCCAGAGTCCCGAGTACGATGCAAGCGGACATGGCGGTATGAGGCATTTGTGTGCAGTGCCGTGGTCGAGCGTGTAAGGCCACAAGGGAGGGTCCATTTGAAGCGTCGTCATCGATGCGTCGTACATAAACCTGTTCGCGGCCATCATCTCAAACTGTGGCTCACCTCCGACCTATGCGCACAATTTCGAGTAAATATCTATAGAAATCAACGCATGTTGGCCGTGCGCTGGGTAGCGCAATTACTTTAATACGGGTTGGTACATACTTTCGCATCCTATGTATGCGTATAGTGGTATTTTTCTCAGTGGCAGCCGCACGTTGCAAATCAAACGGGAGCTATTTAACTAAATGCCTTCTAACTATTAGAGTAACAATCCTATCCCTGCGCGCGGTTCGGAATGCGCAGCCGTAGCACGAGCATGAGTTCTAGCTGACCAGGTAACTGCTAATTAACGCTATCGCCGGCACGTTACCTGTAGATACGGCGCGCGAACACCAACGACGTCGGCATTGTAGACTAGTCCGAGGTTTCCTATGATCACTCGCTGGTCAGCAAGCTCGTCTGACCATTCCCTGGCGGAGGCTCGGCCCCAAAACGTCGACGGTATCCGCTTCGTAATGGAATGCGCTCCTGTATGATGAGATTAATAACTGACTTCAATACTTGAACGCGTCCCTCTCCTTTGTCTCCTAGCGCGCCTTGTCAGGGCGCGAGGTCAGGACTAATGTCATTTACCTGTTCCTATAGTAATGTGAAATCGCAATACAGGGGCTTACCCGCGTCCTGGTTTGTTTCAATTCCGAAATGTATTCTGATATTTCTCGGTTCCTATTTAATTAAAATAATCTAATTCCGTATCCCGAAAACGGTCGTACCCGTGCCCCATCACTACTGATCAGAGAATGGTTGTGGGTGTGGCCACCAGCGACAGACCACGATTAAAGATTCCGAGTCAGTGTCCAGTGATGACGGGATAGCGCATTACGCTCTAGATGTATCGCTACTAGATCATAGTGTCATGCTATATCTGATAATTATATAAGCTGGAATGCTGCATGTCCTAATGATAATTGATCACATCTCACTGGGGATATTGTGTAACATCAAAGCGGTTACGATACGGTAAATAGAATATAAAATTTCAACTGCTTCAAACTGCGGCGGCTTTCTTTTCGCAATTTTACCTATTTCGTGTCCTTCGTAGTAGAGCGATTGAACGACGCTGTAGTCGGTATACTCGTGCGAAACGAAAAATGTTCCGTGAATAGGGCATCCGTTCTGATTACGTCTCGCCTCCCGTCGCCGTCTGTTGCCCATGCGTTTGAAGATCTATGCAGATTTCATCGGCGTTTAGTTATTGTGATCGTAAAGGTGCGATCCGTGGCGAATTGCAGAACATAATATAATAAATTATTGCTGTCATTGTATTGGTGACAATATAGGCATGTGATCTATAAAAATATGACACGTATGTGCACATCCTCTCATTACCATCGCGAATACGAACAATAT